CCGCCGCTGCCGACCCCGCGGTGCCGCGGCGAGAGGGGTGCGCCGCCGCCGCCACCGCCACCGCCGCCGGAGGCAGCCCTGGAAGCCTTTTGCGCCGCAAGGGCCGCCGCATACACCCTGTCGCAGTATGCCTCCGCCATGGGAAGGCTCCGGATGCCATGACAGTACAAACTCAGAGCCTCCCTGCAAGCGAAACGGCGGCGCACGCGCTTGGTGGGCGCTGGATTCGCACGCATGGGCGCCGGCGCCGCCCAGCGACCGCGCATGCAACACTTGTCCCGCATGCGCAGCAGCGCTCGCATGGCTGGATCCATGTACATGTAGCTGGCTAGCTGCGCATGCACATGCCATGCATGCACGTGCGGATTTGCATCCAGGGCATTGTGCACACATGGGCGCCGTCCTCTGCATGCATACCCATGCGCATGCTTGGCCGCACAAGCGCACCTGTGGCGCCCGAGGCGCTCGAGCATGAGCGCCCTGATCTCGGGCAGCTTCCCTGTCGGCAGCTGCACCAGCACGACCTCGGGGTCGATGTGGGGCGATGAGTAGACCAGCTCCTTGAGCCGGTCGTATGCATCGCGACGGCTGCTGAGTTGAAGAGGGGTGTGTAAGAGATCGGGGATGGGGCATGGGGTTGATGTAGAGCATGCACGGCTGCGCACATGTGAGAGAGCGGCAAGGTGCATGCATGCGTGTACGCATGTTTGAGGTTGCGCCATGTGTGTGTGTGAGGGTGGTGATGAGTCATAGACAGTGTGCAAAAATATCAGCCTTGTGGCAGCCAAGAGGCCAGGGGGGCAGGAGGGGTGGGCGGCGGATGCTTCCAAACCCGCCAGCTGGCACAGCGGTGGCGGTTGATGGCGGTTGAGGGGTTGTGCGAACAAATGACAAACCGAGCGGACGCGTTCAGCAATGGTCGGGTGTCACAGCGGCGAGGCACCGCAATTGGGTGCCAAACGATTGCAAGGCGGCCTGGCGCGGGCAGGCGCCAGCGCTATCGTTTTGAGCGGTGTATGGCGGCTGCCCTCCAGAGAGGCGCGCCGTGGGCCGCACCTGTCTGCGCCCTCCGCGGCCCCGCCCTCCGCCTCGCCGCCCGCCGCCTTGCCGCCCGCCACGTGCGCCGCGGCGGCGGCGGCGGCGGCGTGGGGGCCGCCGTCCGGGAAGAGTTTCTCCAGGGGGTGGCGCGTCTTGGCCAGCAGCGAATCTGACAGGGACAGCTTGCGCGCGTGCCTGGCGGCGCTGCGGGGGGCGTGGTGGGGTTGGGGGTGGCGCGGCGGCGACGGCTCGGGGGCGTGGGTGGCCAGCAGATAGTGCCTCAGATATTGTAACCAACCCTTTTGAGAGGTGGATTGGTTGAAGAAGCTGCGCGTTGCCACCCAGGCACGACTAATCCATAACTGAGAGATAGCTTGAAACGAGACTTTCCTCGTCATGACCTTGCGGGCGGGTCAACTTTCTCCCAATGCATTGGCCCTGCCCCTTGCCTGTCGCCGCCGCCCTCCTCCTCCTCCAAAGCCATCGCCAGGTACTGCGTTAGTAACAGGCTGTGGAAGTCACCAGGTGACGCCACCCCCAGCTCCAGGGCGCTCTCGAGGTACACCACGCAGTAATCCGGCGCGTGGCGCTGCGGTTTGGGGGGTGGCGCGCACAGACGGATGGATGGCGGATGGACGGCGGGCGGGCGATGGATGTTTGGTTGGTCAACGGCCAACGTGAGGCCATTCCAAGATAAGGCTGGTGGCGTCGGAGCAAGCAATGGCGCCGAGATTGTCCGTTGGCCCAAACGAACATCACATCGCACCCGGATTTGAGGGCTGAAACGTTGCCTGGGATTGGGGCGGCAACAGCCCATTTCCCATGCGCAGCCCCTATACCCAACGAAGCCCTCGAGGAGCTCTCGCACGCGTGTGCGTGTGCGCGCACACACACAACACGCACACAAGCGCGCACCTGCAAAATGGGCAGCACCGCCGCGGCGGGCAGCGGCGGCCGCATCTGCAGGAATGCCTCCAGCCCCGCCTCTGGGTCGGCCCTCAGCAGCCAGCCCGCGTGCGCCTCCGCCAGCGCCAAGTTTGGGGGCGTCAGGTTGGTCAAGTACCTGCCGGAGGGAAAACAGGCGGAAGTCCAGGGGGCGGCGCGATGACGTCAGCACGAGTCATGACGGACGCTCGTGCGTTCGACCCCACTGGCAGGTCGATCAAAGGTCGCGTTATCTTCGGCTCGCCCTCTCAAACTTTACGCGGCAGCGGCAGCAGCGGCGCGGTAGCGCGCTTTGACTGCGCCGTCTGCCGCTGCTGCCGCTGCCGCGTAAACCACCTCCGCAGCCGCGCACCAGGCCCCTCAGTGGCGCCGCGTGCGGGCGCCGCCCCCCTCCCCCCACCTGAGGGCTCAACCCTCCTTTTCAAAACCGTTGGCTGCCACCCGGCCCCACCCACCTGACGGCCGCCCAGACGCCAGGTAGGCCGGGCAGGTCAGCAGCCGCGCCCGCGGGCTTCACCGGCAGCAAGGCGGGCTCCTGGCTGAGCCGGCGCAGCAGCTCGAGGCCCTTGGCGTGCTGGGGTCGATTCAATGGTTTGTGTTTGGTGGGTTTACAGGCAAGGGGTGCGGAAGGGGTGAGAAAGGGGGTGTGCGAGGGAGGGGGGTCCCAGCGGGCAGGCGGTGGCGTAAGCGGGGGAGGATGGATGTATAATTTTAGGCTGGGGCTCGCTGCATCCAAGAGGGTCAGCTTTGGGCTGGCCAGCTCCTAGAGAGGCGGCCGGTGGATTCAGCAGCCCCCAATGCGACGGGCCTTGTGCGAGGGCAGCTGCGATGCAGCTGCTGGCGCGGGACAGCTGACACCGCGAGCACAGGCGAGAGAGCGCGCGTGATGTGCGTTCGCAAGTGATTGTAACGCCGCCCACCTGCCCCGTGTACTGCAGCAGCGCCGCCAGCTCAGCGTACCGCCCCGCCGCCGCCAGCGCCCGCTCGCCCTCCGCAGCGTCGACGAAGTTGCGCTGCTGCAGCAGGCGCAGCGCGGCGCCGGTGTCGGGCTGCGCCAGCATCGCCAGCAGCAGGGCCGTGTCGAGTACAGTCGCAACAACCTCAGGCGGCGGCGGCGCGCCGTCGTCGCTGCCTGCCGGCTCCGGCGCGCCCGCAGCGGCGCCGCCCGGCGGCGGCTCGGGCGGCCGGGAGGCCAGGCCCTGCTGTGCCGCTCCCGCCACCGCCGCTGCATCGCCCCCAGGCTGGCCTGGGCGCCTGACCGGCCGCTTGGGCTTTGCCGGTTTCCGCTGCTGCTGCTGCTGCTGCTGCCGCCCGGCCGCGCCCTCGCCGCCGCCACCGCCGCCATCCTGCTCACCCGCCGCCGCTGCTGCCGCCGCCGCCGAAGCCGCCGCTGCTTCCTCCATAGCCGCGAGCAACCGCGTGCGGTAACTAAGCAGGTAGGGCACCACCACGCCCACCGCCGCCGCCTCGCGCCCCGCGGGCCCCGCGTGGCCGTGCGCGTGCGTGTGCGCGCCTGTCGTACCGCTGGCGTCGACGCCGCCCGCCGCGTCCCGCCGCGGGGCCCCGTCGCCGGCGGCGGCGGCGGCGGCGTCCTCGTCAGCGTCCAAATCGGGAAGCTTCTCGCCGTACGCCTCGTCAGGCAGCAGCGGCCGGAACTTGGCAGGCACGAGGCCCGGGAACAGCCGCAGGAGCAGCAGCGGCCCCGCGTCGCTGCACATGGACAGCTGAGTCAGCGCGTCATCGACGTCGCCCGCCTCGAAAAGATGACGGCAGAACCGCAGCCGCAGCGCGTCCTCTAGCTGCCGCCGCCGCGGCGCCGGCAGGCGCGCGCAGAGCTCGAGCGCCCCGGAAAACTCGCCGCCGCCGGCCAGCAGCCGCGCCTGGCGCTCGATGGGCACGGGCCGCAAGCGCCGGACGCCGCCGCCGGCGGCGGCGGAGGCGACGAAGAGGCTGCCGTCGTGCGGGGAGGGGTGGGGCGCGGCGACGGCCATGCCGGGGAGCAGGATGTTCTGCGGGCGGGGTCGCCAGGTCAAAAGCAGGGAGGCGGGGGCACGTCAGGGTGATAGGATTGACGCCCCTGGTGTTGAGCGAACGGGCTCCTGCGGTCGCCAAAACCCATTCAGCCTAGACCGGCAAACAACCGCAGCCCTGACTTCACTTTGCAGGCCCCAGGCCTCTCGCACACCGGCCCCTGCTGGTCCGCGCCGGGCCGAAAAAAACAAGCGACGGCGCCCGCGGCGGGCGTCGAACCTGCACCGCGGCGGGCGTGCTGATGCGCGAGACGGACTTGACCTCCACCCGGCCCGGCAGCAGCGCCACTGCGTAGCCATCCCCGGCCACGAGTGCGACTGGGGACTCGCCCCACTGCAGCTGGGATTTGCGGCTGGCCTGGGGGTGAGGCGGGGTGGGGCCGGGGTGGGGTTAGGG